GCCATGGACCTGCTGAAGCTGCCCACGTTGTTACTGAGCAGGTAATGCCAGGGCTTCTCTTTGCACCAAATGCTTGTTGTTGTTTCTTGTTTAGTTTTTTTTTAAAAAATGCCAAGTATACAGCCACACATTCAAGTGAATTGAAGTATGCTGGTTGAGACATTCGGTAATCCAAGGATGGGTCTTGCCACATCCTTGCTGGGCATCATTTCAATTAAGTTGCTTAGCTCCTGATCCACTGAACTGCGTGGGACCATAACTGCAGTTTGTTCCTGTGCTGAATATGCCATCAGCATAGGCAGAAATGCCCAGTTTCTCACCAGGGTTCTGGATGGTGGTGTAGCCTGTGCAAAGCTCTGGGGCATACCAGAATGCAGCATCAGGGCTGGGAAGGGGCAAGGAAGTTTTAGGCCTCAGGGCATGGCGTCCCATGTGGAGCCAGACACTTTTTCCCTTTTCCAAGCAAGATGATGATGCTGACAATTTGTTTCTTCTCTCAGGCAATGCAATTCGGCACTGAAGACAACAGCACAGTTGTCATAGTGCCATTTGGAGCATGGGGAAAGTACAAAAACGGTGAGATCAACTTCTCCTTCAGCCGCAGTTTTGCTTCCAGCGGGAGGTGGGCGTGAAGACCTGCCACAGCTATTTTTTCCTGCCATGATCTGGACACAGTGTGCTACAGGAGAACACATCCATCTGTTCATACGTTGACTCAATGTCTTGTCCATCTCTTCTGTTCCCAGTGTTATAGAAGATGCCACTGTTCCCTTGGTGCGTAATGCCCCGTTGTTGCTTATGGCTGTTCGCATCTTGCTGCGTTTATTTATTCCAGTCGGCATTGAGGCAGCTATTTCTTTGGGTTTGTAGTCCCAGCAGCTCTGCACATCACTTTGTTCACATAGACAAGGCTCTGGGCTTTCACCTAAGGCTGGAGGTGTTGCACAATTATTTCATACCTACCTGTACTACCCAGGACTCTTAGTTACTGGGCAGCTGCGTCGGTCAGTCTCTGAGCCACATGCTGGCTTCTTTGTACGTTAATACACGGGGGAACAAATGCACAGTGTTCTTAGGTAGGCAAAAAGCAAGTTTGTTGTCTTCCTCTGCTGCAGCACCCAAACCTCCTGTGCTTCAGGAGAAGAGGGTGAAAAATAAGGAAGAAGTTGCAGGAGAGTTTAGGTTCTGATGCCAGTGGCATTTGGTGTAGCTGAACAACTTCTGAGACAGTGCTGCTTTGCAGGGCGTTATACTCTCACCTCCATCATCGGTGATCCTCTAGCTCCAAGGAGACTAAGCAGGCTGGAGCCATGTGCTGTTGGACAGATGGGAACGTTTCTCCATTGGGTCCAAAGCCTGTACGGTCTCTATGGACCACGCAGCAGCCCCTTGCACTGTCTTCTCTTTGGTGTGCCAGTGCTTGACAGGAGCACAGAGGGGGGAAAAAGCTGCATGTTTTTGATACCCAGACTCTCATCAACTTGAATTTTTTTTTTTTTTCCTTTAAGGAAAGAAAACCAGATAATTTCAAAGAGTTTACTAATCAAGATTCTTTGGATGTGTAAGACAGGAGGATTTATTTCTTCATAAATATATGAGGATTCTCCTGCCCTTCGCTGAAGGTTTCTTTCTGTTAGTCATATCTCCTGCATCTCTTTGTGGTATACAGGGAGCTGTAAAAAGCCCAAAGCAAGCAAGCTAGAGAAAGGAGAGAGCATTATAATAATGTAAGGTAATTTTAATACGTTTTGGGATAGTTTCTAGTAGGTGTCAGATACTCAGACACCAGAAGGTAGTTTTATACTTAAAGGAATTGTTTCCACTTTCCTTTCCGGGGGGAGTCTGTGTCCTGTGAGGCTCAGGGGGCCAGAGCTCTGAGCAAGCTTGTATTGCTACTGTGAGATGGACTGCAGGTGATGTGTTGGCAGCAGGTGAAGGTCTGTCCCAGCCTGCCTCGTTCAGACCTCCTCCTTCTGACCTCCTCCTTTCTCTGCTTCACATCAGGTGTGCAGCTCCTGTGGCCTTCGAGTCACCCTGCTGCAACAAAATACGGGCAGAGAAGAACTGGGCTCTTTTCACGCTTGCCACAGTATTTGTCATTCTGTGGATGCTTCCAACAGCACAATTGTTAAAACAAAACAAAGGGGAAGAGAAGTTGCCTGATACTGAATCACCTTGCAATAAGGAAAAAATATTTCTGAGATGCCTGGCCTGATACTCTTTTTCCAGTGGGAAGTACACATCTTCGTTACTTTTAGCCCTCTCCTTTTAGCCCAGGCTTACACCTTAGGCAGTCATTCCATGTGTTTTTCCTTGCCTCTGGTCGAAAGCCTAGCCGCACCCAGCAGAGCACAGTATTGTACTGACAGAATTACGTACTAGGTGTTTTGAGAGTACGCTGTTTTTGTCCCATCACTTGGTGTATTACATGGTGTATATAATGTGTATATTCAATTTCTATGTACGAAAAGCTTCTGAGTTGGTATATGTAAATCTCTGTTGTATTGGATGCTGTTGCCCAGGCCTCTGTAACAAGTGCATCACTGGTTCACAATAATAATCCCTTCTCTCTCCCCAGATTTTCCCCAGGGTTGGGGTACAGTCTTCACCCAAGGTCAGAATGTTTGCTGGTCATGGCTCTGGGCTCAGCCTTGCTTACCTGAGGCAGAAGGGCACTTTTAGTTTTTACCAGCGAGAGTGGGTTCTCGGTCTGCAGCAAGTTTGAAGATTCCCACAACCCGTTTGTGGCAAAAACGGCAAAACGCAGCCTCTCCTGAGCACTTGAGGAGAGGCCGCACCTGACAGAGGTTCAGAGAGCTTCCCCCCAGGAACGTGGTTATGACTGGTTTGTGCTGCAGCATGAACAGCTGACAGCCTTTCTCCTGCCAAAGTGACCTGCTAAAACAGCAAGTCCAATAGTTGCTGGCAAACGGTTAACCACTGCATGCAGCAGTCTTACTCTGGGCACAGGGTTAGAGTCAAGCTCTGGAGAGGGACTTGCTGTGGGGGTGGCTTTGGTATCAAGTGTCAGACAGGCTTGAGCTGTGCTGCAGGGCTTTGGACAAGCTCCATCGACGCTGATCCGTTCATTTCTGTTGGGCTGGCTAGCCATCTATCCAGGCAGAAGATAGCAAGGGTGCTGGGGGTGTTCGTGACAAGTACACACATTTTTTGAGCAGTGCTGTATACTTGGCAAGCTGAAGACGTGGTATTAAATGTGAGCTGCTAATGAAAAACACTGCAAGCGAAGAGCAGGTGCTCTGAGGAATGACCTGGCAGTTAGAGCAGCTTCTAAACGTTGACCCAGATGTAACATGAAATGACACTTTCCCTTCTCATTGGAGGTTTTAGGGCATTTTTTGTTTTATCCCTGTCTGGTTGCCTGATTTCATAAGAACAGAAGTGGTTGGGGGCTTTTATTTCTTCCAACAGAGTAGTTAGTTATTCTCTCAGAGGAGGGATCCATCTGTAACTTCTTTTAAATCTTATAACGGAAGGGATAAGACAAAGCTTTGCAAAATAGAAGATGGTTAGATAAAGATGTATTGGCAATTGCTATTACTGCCTTTATACAATCACAGAAAAACTTAGATTGGAAAGGACTTCTGGGTATCAGCTAGCCTAGCCTCCTGCTCAAAGCTAGGCTAACTTCAGAATTGCATACTGTGGTGAAGGGATGTCTCCTGTCATGGAAATGCAGTGCCTGAAAATGGATGGGGGAAAGAATTTAGCATGCAGTGTGGTTTACCTGTGGAACCACTTAATTGTATTGAAGTTGAAAGCTTACCAGTATTTAACAGGCACTTTCTATAGCTACCAATAAATTTCACAAATAAATTAGCATATACATAAAAATAAGATATGAGCCATTTTGGTTCAAGCAAAAGCAAATCAGTAACTGACCAGGGATTAGAGAGATGCATTTCTTACGCACAGGTTATTCCCTGCCTGTTCACTCTAGTTTTCTGCATCTCATTCTGAAGTAAACAAGCTACAAATGAAGATGAAATGCTTTGCCAAGTGGCCCGGTAGTCTGCCTGTTCCTCCTTCCATTAAGAACAGAGGTACCTTCACACTGGTTTGTGTGGACTCCTTACTTCATGCTGCACATGGCAAGACTCTTCAGCGCTAGCTTGAAAAGCGTAGCTTTTTGTAGAAACACTCCATTACCAGGACCGTTGGTCTCTGCCTCCTGAACCACAATATTGCTTTTTCTTACCAAGATGATAGTGAACTCCCCTAAAATGTAGCGGCAACTGCACCAAACCTTGTTTTTCTCCAAGAAGTCAGGAAAAACCTGCAGTTTCCTGGGTGATGGGTTTTTCATTGTTTGACACTTCTCACTGAAGAGTCGTTAGAACAAGTCCCTGCCCTTGCCTTTCAGTTTTGGGGCTGTTTGTTTTGATGCTGATACTGTGTTGGCAGAATGAGTTTTGCCAACACGTTCATGAATGGGACACAGGTGTATGGCACTGAATTTGGCATGCATGGACTATGAAGTCAGTGGAGTAAAGCCATGCTGGGGGAAATGGAAGTGGTTTGTTGTAGTGGTACCAGAGGATTAAATTAGCAGTGCTGCGGTAATGTCCGGCCAGCAGACCTCTTGGCATAGGGTTCTCCACCAGAGCTAGGTACTGTTCTGCTCTGATGAAGCTGTACTTCTAGGTTTTTTATCTAGTCAGTAAGCCTCCTATAGCAGCTCTGCAAGCAAACAGCTTTACACCCCAGGGACCAGCAAAATCCTCTTGCCTAGCAGAGAGCTCCTTTCAACTTGAGGACAAAGAGCAAATTGTCCTAACAACAGCAGTTGCCTATCAGAGAGGTTTATAACTGAAGGATCACCGGAGGTATCTTACACTTTGAATGAAATGAATCTCAGTTTGCTCTCTAGCTCCCTGTTTTTCCCACGCATCTGTCTTTCAACAAAAAGAATGATATTTTTTGTTTATTGCAGACTGAACTGAACATTAAGGGTGACCTACTGAGCAAACCATAACAAGTGTTTGCTTTTTTCCTGCCTTTTAGGGATGGATTCTGAACTCCATTGGATCTGGTAAGAGCATTTTCTTGCCTGAACACTCCCCCTGGAGCAGTGGTATCTCTCACTGTACAGGCACTGCAGGAGGGTGGGTTATGGGTGCAGAAAGGCAAAAAATGCTGTCCAGCTAGATACTCATTTTTAATGTGAGGGTATGGAAGGCACAGGGTGGCCTCCTGGTGCTGCAGGATTTACTAGGAGAGGTGTTGACACCGCAGCTGGAGTTCCAGCATGTCCTCTCCACCACCTGGAAAGGGAGGTTTCACGCTTTGTAGAGGGAACTCGCTGAAATGTCATTTGCAGCCTTGATTTAAGAGAGCTAGTGCCTCTGGAAGGCAAGTGCAAGAGATTGAAATGAGGATGAAGTGCAACAGTTTGTTTAATGCAGAGTCCTCAAAGAGTCCTCAATACAATCAGTCCCTTTGGGTTGAAAAGCTCAGGGTTGGAGAATAATCACAGAGCATAGTTTGTGGTTGAGAACGGGGATGTGGAGAGAAATCAGCAATTTCACTGCTTTTTACATACTTGGGGGAAATGACAGTTGTGAGGCGCTTAGACTCACCGCCGGATTTCTGCCGACTTCCACAGGATCAG